GAAGGGTCTCCTGAAAGTCCTCAAGAATGGGGAAATTTTCTGAGGCATCCAAGTCGCGCATCTTGGGCCAAGGCGGTCTTGAGAAATCCTGCCAACAATGGAGTCGCATCCATGAAGAAGATCCAAGTAGAAATCCCCTGCGTCCCTGAAGGGCGAATGTGTGACAATCCCTCTTGCGTGACTGTCATATAAAAGGTGAAACTTTGAATAATGGAGAGCCACTAAGTCGAGGTCTTCCGCTTAGCTTGGAGTGCAGTTTCGCGTAACGCGTACAAATTGAAAGGAGCAAAAGAAAGTGGAGAAACGTAAGACAGATCCAGTGCGGTTGGAAGTGTCACCTGGAGAGCACAAAGGCACCCGGGCCCTGCAGATGACTTGACACCAAAATCCTCGAAACAATGCGAGCCAGCCGGGGTGTGCTGGTCCTTTTGGTCGTGGCCATTAACGGCGGCCATTGCTCCTCTTCTTCGGCGAAACCGAAGGAAGTCGAAGCTTTCGAGAGCTCCACTAATGGGAAGAGCTTCAACTACGCAGCTTCCTCCGGAACCGAGAAACGGGCTGACAAGAAGGAGTTAGAAAGCCTCCAGACGGAGGAGAACGGAGCGGAACAGGAAAAGAAGTCCAGGACCATCTTGGGACCAGTTTCCCTGGACCACCGAGATAAGTTGGCTTCCAAGTTCCCTCGGTTCCTTCCGAGTCTCTTGAGTTTCCTTACTTGAAATCCAGAAAAGCTCGAAGACCCGATTTTCAGCTCCATGGACGGTGTAGAGTTTGCGAAATGGCCAAGATACTGTCGTAAATTGTTTAAAATTGAGGAAATCACATCGTGAAGGGCGTAAAATAGAAATATTTACCGTTTTAGTTTGTTCCTTTCCTCTCTTTCATCATATAGCATTACATATTGTTATTCGTCGTTCATTTCTTCGATTGTCTGGGCAGCATATAGTTGATGTATGAAGTAACAAAATTACTATTTTTCTTCGAGCCCTATGCAATTGAATAATAAAATATATTACTAAAAATCTCATAACAACAATAATAAACGTTTATGATCTTATGGGGTCGTGTCATTAGCTGTTGATGGCCACATGTGACTTACAGGTCATGAGTTACATTTCCGCCAAAGAACATTTTCTACCATTTAAATCTAAAAGGGTTCATTGTTGCACCTAGGAGTAAGTATTCCAACTATTCTAGAGCTACAAATTAATGAAGAAATTTGTTGAATTGCAGGTCCCACTTGTTGCGACGGTGGTTATGGTTATGGTCATGATTTCCAATCCCGTCCGAAAAATGCAAAGCCCAGCAGTTATGGTGGTTCCCACTCGCTGGAATCTGAGAAATATCCTTCTCGCTATAGCAGTCGTCCCGACGACAGGTTACCATTAGCAAATTCCTGTAAATTGATCGCCATTAAAAATATTTATTTACACCAACACTTTAACAGGTACGGATGGCAAAGTTCGATTTACCCGCTCGGAAGTGGAAGACCCGGAAATGCCTTCGGATCCCATGACAGTGGACAGTCCGGAGACAGGTAAGCATGGAATCTTCACCTCTGGCTGAAAATCCTTTATTTAATCTTATCAACAGACATAAAAGACTTTCATTAACACGCGCCAAATGTATATATAGGCGCGAAACATTGTCTACGATATTTAGCCTGGTCGCCAAACTGGACACAGAATGTCGTTTCCTGAACCTCATGAACAAGTAATGTAAACTTCAACCAGGTCATCAAGATTCGACTATTTTTCTGCGTTTTTTAAACTATGAACGAAACCGATTGGTAGATTTAAAACGGAGAAATAAATATTTATCGAATTGAATGCCGTTCGCGCAGGCTTTTAAATGTACTTGGCGCGAAGCTCTACCGAGTTTTCGGACACGGAGATATGTAATTATCAGTATTTCACTTTGTTCTAATATTCTGAGAGATATTTCGTCCACAGATACGCGTCTCGGCCGCAATATGGCGGAAACGGGTATCCTCCTTGGACACCTGGTCCCGCAAGACCAACTTCCGGTGGTCCAGGGGGTCATGGAGATGGCGGTGGTTATGGCGGTGGTGGCTACGAGGCTGGTGGCAGGCCCGGAGGTTTTTCAGGGTACGACTCTGCTTATGGTGGAAATAGACCGGGTCAGGGCACCCATGGATACGGAATATCTGGAAGCTTCGCCGATGGGGACGACTTCGACGAAAACGGGGAACCATCTTTTCCGGAACCCGGCGGTCCCCCCAACAACGTCGGCAATATTCACACGCAGAAGGCAAAATTTCTTATTTTAATTCAATCCCACAGTTATATAACCCTAATTACAGCAAGACTTATTCAAAGGACATATTGATACTTTGTGATATCAAATTATTATCGTACCTTGATGTTGTTACGTATCTGTCAGCAATACTGTTTATATACTACTCACATGGTATCGATATGTTATGTCGCTCTATTATTCGTTATATAAGAGCGTTAACTGCGTGGATAATGGGAATATAATTTTTACGTAACGTACACGTTACATTAAATGTATGACATTTCTAACGGTTACAGGTGTATAGAACTGTGCTTGGTGGGGTGTTCATTCCATGGCTAATTTCTGTTTGATCATATCTTTAGGCAATTGCAACGTAACGTAACCTAATTAAAACGGCGAGAACATATTCCTCAACTTAATATACTATTAAGTAACATAATTATGTTACTTCAGATAACATAGTGCTTATCACAAGACGTAATTTCTGTTTGATCATATCTTTAGGCAATTGCAACGTAAAGTAACCTAATTAAAACGGCGAGAACATATTCCTCAACTTAATATACTATTAAGTAACATAATTATGTTACTTCAGATAACATAATGCATATGTACCCATAATTATGAAAGTGGTCTAAGTCAAAATTAAAAAAAAAATGAGTTTATCAGTTATTTCACGCCATATTATTTCAAACGAAATTAATTCAATGCAATTTCGAAACAAAAAATATATGACTTAGACCACTTTCATAATTATGGGCACGTATCACAAGATGTCATTTCTGTTTGATCATATCTTTAGGCAATTGCTTTGAAAGCTCTGGCAGGTGTCGCCCTAATCGGAGCTGCTGCAGCGTTGGCGGCGAATCCGGTGCTTCTTCCGCTCAGCGTCGTTTCCGGAAGAAGGAGACGCTCGACAAACGAAATCGGAGACCTTGACGTCCAATATTCCGGAGATCTCCTGGATGATCAGGTGGCAAAGGTGCGGAGATGCCAAGGACTATGGCGGTTCTTATCCATCCCTATTCTTGATTTTCTTTTTTATTTATTTTCTGCTACTCTTGTAGATCAATTCTGGGTTCCTGACGTCTCCGGCTTGCGTGGCCAAGATGGCGTGTCAAATACAACGGGATTATATCCTGAACTTGAAGAGAAAGGAGAATAATACCATCCCGGACCAGAATCTATACCACAGCTTGGTGCAACAATTTATGACGACGTAATATTACCTCCTGGAAGACTGAATACGTAGAGTGAGATGGTACAATATTTCTTATTCTTTATTTCCAGCATCCAAATTGGCATCCTCGAGGCTGATTACGCCAGCGAGAGTCTGAAGAGGCTTTTCAAGCTCGCCTTGACTATTGGATCCAAAGAGGGGAATTGTAACGTTCTTGTTTGTACCTTTGCTCAGTCTTAACTGTAAATGTATGGATCACAGTGACGATATTCAGGATAACGTCGAAGGTTAAGGTGTTACCCTAATAATTGTGTCGTACGGAATGTGTACGTATGCATGTGTGTATTTGGTGCGAAACTCTACCGAGTTTTCTGATTTGGAATAAAATGAAACTTTACGCGCCATCTTGTGGGATTTGATTTTAACTTTAGAGCTGGGTTGAGGCCTCAATATTAACATCCGATGGTAAGTAAGAAGGCTGTACCATCCGATGGTAATCAAGAAAAGCACTACCATCTGAAGTTGCGTCTCCACAGCGAATCCGGAAGATAGAGCCACGTACTCGTGCGTGAACTTAGCCACGAAAAGAGGTTATCTGTTTAAAAAATCATATCAAACCTAGTATCAACGCTGACAACAATGACAGGCAATACCAGGAAACACCTGCTAATAAATTCACTAGCATTACCATCCTGTAATTTTTCGCCTTTTATTATCTGAGCTTTTATTTCTCCACAATTTTCCCCTGCATTGAGAATGACAAAATAATAATCAGATTTATACAATACTTGACAGAAATGTCAAAAGCGAGTTAAAGTGGGTCGTGTCAATTACTGCCCCGTCAATGTCGAGTCAATCGACTCGGCGTTTCAATTCGAGATCGATAGAGAAAAGCCCGGATTTCTATGTCAAGGCCGCGAAAGCTTCGAAAGCTCCCTAGCAACGGCGAGGTCTCGAAAGCGCCGACTCGAAGACCTGGACTCTCCAGAAAGCTCTTATCAGTCCTTCGTCCCGGAATTTCGAGCTTTCTCGGCGGAGCTTTCATTGAGATTCGATTTTTTAGCCTCGTTTTCCCAGCAAGCTCCCCTCCCTCGGTATAAAAGCCCGAGGAAAAGGGCTCCAGGTCGGAGTTGGCGCAAAGCTCGACTTCCGTTCCGCGCACGCGCAGGGGGCTTTCTCCGGAGTGGAAGCTCCTCGGCTCAAGGCGAAAGCTCGATCGCAAAGCTGGCCTCCATTCATAGAGGAACCCATTCACGAGGACGTTGGTGCTGGTCGAATCGCGCAAGCTCTGGTTTTGGTAATTCTTTGTCGCCTAAATTCGAAAGCTCGGAGGATATTTCCACCCGAGACGTCCCTTCGTGAGAGCTTTTTCGAGAAGGGGAGGCCAAAGCTTGCGGAAGTGGAGTTCAGGGGGCGAGCGAGGCTTGCTAGGAAGTAATCGATGGTGCTTCTGGTTCGACTCGGTGGAGAGGAAAGCTCCCAGGGAGAGGGCTCATCTCCGGAACGCTGATAACTCGTGTTATCTACCCGGGAGGAGAGCTGGCCGAGTCATCCCTTTTTCCGAAGAGAGGCAAAAGTGTTTTTTCGCGGCAGAAACAACCCGCCGAGCGAGAAAGCTCCGGGCGTCGAGCAACAGGTAAAGTTGTCTCGTTTAAGCTCCTCACCTGCGATCCGCAATTTTCTTGCACATTTCCGAATTTCCAACCGCATCGGAAATCTGGCTGTTATCTTGATGTTATAAAAAAAAAAAAAAAGTGACGGGAAAAGTGATCGATGACTTTGCTCTCCCGGCTTTCCTTTTCCCTTCTTTCTTCCTCCATCTTTTATTGTACGAGTCACCGCGTAACCGCAAATGGACCGTTAATTATCGGATGCAATGGCCAATCAATTACGGGCCGATCTCTTGATTGGGAGCCGGTTCGAGTCGCCGCATGGGAATTATTCATGTCGGGGAATTACGCAAGCAATTCGCCGAGAGAAAGAACGACAGAGATAGAGAGTCCTCTCTTTGGCTTTGCACAAGTGTAGCTCGAGACTTCGTTCGGTAACGATGAAGAAGAGAGACATTTACGATGCCGAAGATACAAAATCGACGGAAATTGTGGAGCTGCTAGTGGAAATTTACGGGAAATGCTGAATAGTACCTAAGCCCTAGCTAGGGCTTTTCACGTCAATTTTCAATCCTAGCTAGGGCTTTCACATCATTTTCCAACCCTAGCTAGGGCTTTGACGTTATTTTCAGCCCTAACTGGAACTCGATTCTGCATCCAAGACACCTTTCCTAGTTAACGTCAAACTAACAATAAGGATCTAATCGAGCAAACTAACTGATTAGGATCTAATTTAACATCCCAGCCAATTTTATCTAGATTTTAGCGCCTAGCTAGGGTCTCCTTAAAATTGAATTGTTCCTTCTACATATTTTTGTTTGATTTTTCCTTTATTGAACATACACACGGCATCCTACTTATCCTCCACGTGGAGATGTATGACTCTGCAATGTTACCCTTGACTCTGCAAGGTTCCGCCCTGTCTAGGACCGCTCCAGATTTTCTACATGTGTAGGTTGTATCGATAGCGATCATCGGATCTTGTTTTTTGAATTTTGAACAGATAGAAACAATAAATAAATTTCATATTGGGCTTTCAATGCAGCACGGGTTACAATAGTATTTTTCAACCCTATCTAAGGCAGCTTTGGATTTTTTAACGTATAGGTTACATCGATGGCGATCATCGGATCTTTTTTTCTAAATTTTGAAGATAGAATTGAGAGATAGAAATTATAAATAAATCTCATATTGGGCTTTCATGGCAGCACGGGTTACAATAATATTTTCCACCCTATCTAGGGCAGCTTTAGATTTTTAAATGTATAGGTTGCATCGATGGCGATCGTAGGATCTTGTTTTAGAGGTTTAGTTAGAGGTGGTAACTATAAATGAACCTCATTTTGCGCTTTCAGGACAGCACGGGTTCAATGCCGGAAGCCTCGGGGTCGGGGAGAGGCTTCGCCCTAGGGGCGGCGGCGGATATGCTAATGAAGGAGCCAGATTACTCGATTTTCGAGAACAAAAGTGGACTCGCCGAAGACATGAAGTTCCTGGCGAGCATGCCAGAGCTCTGCGACGTCACCTTCTTGGTCGGCGAGACCAAGGAACCAGTCTGCGCTGTCAAGGCGGTTTTGGCAGCGAGAAGCAGGTGACACGGCGTTCGCCTTTCAATAATTCAGCTATGGTCAAGATCCGAATATTAACATATTAAAGTAATTCTTAACATTCCAGGGTGTTCCACCAGATGCTGTATCCTGAGAAAAAAAAAGAACCGCCCCCCAAGGAGAACAAAATCCGCCTGATCCTGAAAAGGAGCTCGGAGCCACTTCTGAACCAACAAAACGCAGCCCTACAGGTGATTAATCCGTACATTTCCTTTTCGTTGCTTCTTTATTGATATAGAGGTGGCGAACAACCCCCTGTGGGTGTTCTTTGCTCTGAATTTTATGGTTTTCCATGATAGGCGCAGTCTTATCAGCACCATACTCTCACTATCAAGGAGTTTGAACCTGACGTGTTCCGTCAGCTGATCGAGTACATCCACACGGGATGTGTCACTCTCCAGCCCAGGACTCTTTTAGGTATACAGAAAAAAAAAGACATTTGCGCTTTTAACAAAGAACAGTACTGATAATCAAATTTCCCTCTTACTGTGTATACTAATCCCACCAACGACGAAACTGCAATTATATCGGATCGTAGATGTAATTCATGAATTTGTTACAAGAGCCCAAAAAATATTGCCGATAAGAATATTGCAACTATGAACAGAATTTATAATCGTTTCTTCGTTCTTTTTTAATATAAGAAAAATGTCTCTGGACAAAAGTGCTGCAAGCCCATTTCCAAGTGTTCACGTTTGTTGCAAGTAAAATGTCTGGTTATGTCTGCGAATCCCTGTTTTGCGCGCAGGGATAACATCCCGTGTTATCCATTTCGGGAGACATTGTTGCTGCCAATTGTTATTCTTTTTTTCAGGGGTAATGAACGCTGCGGATTATTATGGGCTGGATAATCTTCGTCAAGCTTGCAGCGGCTTCGAGGAAAGCTGCATCACGGTGGACACGGTTTGTGCGCTACTTGCATCAGCAGAGGGCTACATCCAGTACAAAGGAACCAAGTCACTGGTTCAAAAGGTACCGACAAGTCTCGAGTACATCTCGGTACAATGCCCAAAGAGGTGTCCCAAATCGCCACTGTTAGACCGTGATTACCGAGGCCTGCGAATCAATCGATTCGTTATCGGAAACCGATTGGTATCGTGTTTGCTCGTTCCGGCGAGCTTGCTATTCCTCCAGATAGCCTATCACTGAGAGATCTATCGGTGGATTATTAATAAAATCTAAACCTCCACCAGGTGTTGGAGTTCGTTGACGCGAACGGGAACGAGGTGCTGAACCTGGGATCGTTCACGCTGCTTCCTCAGCATGTCGTTCGTCTAATCCTAGGTAGAGGGGAACTTCAAGCTGATGAGTTCACCAAGTTCCAGGTATCTCTCAATATTAATTAGCACGATGTTGGTAAACATCAGGCGGTTAAATATTCCGAATTAAATTTCTCTACATTTAATATTACGTATCTCTCAATATTAATTAGCACGACGTTGGTAAACATTAGACGGTTAAATATTCCGAATTAAATTTCCCTAGATTTAATATTACGAATTACATTCACGGTGTATTGGTGCAACATGTTAAATTTAGCATTAAGAAAATGCTGCATTTTGTTACATGTCTACAATACACGTTGCTTTTGTACATAACAATGGAATGTTCTGACGACAATTGGAAATGTTCACAATTCAATATTGGAGTCATTTAATGAATTTGAAAATGCGGCAGTGTTTTCTAGGTTGATTTATAAAACGCCTAGTGACTTTATAATATGACTAGCGAGATCGTAAAATAAAATATCGAATTTTAAAATATGGCCGCTATATATAGAATAGGGCGAGGGGGTATTCACTCAGGAAATGGATTTTAATGGTCTAAATCTAATCAGCTGGAAATCGATGGAAATCTCCAAAACATTGCCACAATTTTAAGGCTGATTATAACTCCTTACCGAATCGCATTATTTATCATATAAGATCAAAGGCAATCGTTATCACTGATTTTCAAGTGAATAGCCTCTCAATGGGTATAAAAATCGTTGCTTATCAATGGTATTAAATCCGTTGCATGGAAACGTTTCTTGCACGTCGAAACGTCCGCCTATTCCACGTCAAATTTAAAGTTTTCTGTACATTAATAATTTTGTACGTACATTAATGTTCACCATTGCACGAACAGTAGCGGACACGAATGCCTCCCCTGCAGATGCGGTATCGCCTGTGCAGGTTGGGAGGGCATTGATGTCTCCCAGTATACATTAATAAATCTGTACATACATTAATTCTTACCATTTTGCGTACATTAATAAATTTGTACGTACATTAATTTTCACAATTTTACGTAGATTAACAAAATAATATACGTGTGCGTCCTCGAGACGTTCCTAAAATACGTGTAACAAACCGAATTCACAAACGCGAAGAAATGGTGACTAGTCAACATCGAATCTCGCTCCTCAGGCGGCCTTGATGTGGAGCAAGAAGTACTGCGACAGCAACCAGAACGTGCAGCTTAAGGACGTGATCCACAACTTCCTGGAGTACATCCAGTTCCACAAGATCCCGGCGAACGTGCTGATGCGCGACGTCCACCCCCTGAGATTGGTGCCGGACACCATCGTGATGAATGCTCTGGCCTATCAGGTGCGTCTTCCACCGGCCTCCTCATTCAGGAACGGTCGGGTCCTTCGCCTCGACCTCGGTCTCGAGAAGTTCGACGTCGACCCGGAGTCCCTTCCTGAGATGGTCGAGCCGGTGCCCGAATGCACTTGACCGGAGGATTGTTGCAGGCAGACCCAACCAGTGTCGACCCCGGAAAGCTCTCCCCCCACAGAGTGATAAGACAAGGGCGCAGCATGTCGGTGCAATCGTCCCTGGATCCGTACGGCAGCAACACGTCCTTGAGCTCCAGCGGAAGCGACGCCGGGTTCGATCAGAAACAGCACTCTGGGAGCAACTAACCGCAGGCCCCGGCCGCCATTATCGCGGCCGAGCCCGAAGAGGCCTCCTCGGCAGAGTACGCCGAGATAGGCCCGGCTTACGAGCCGGGAGAGGAGGCCAAGGGCGACAAGGAAGAGGCCACCGTGCCCGAAGAGGAGGCCGAAGAGGCCACCGGACCTCCGAGGCTCCTCAGCCTCGACGAGGACAACGCCTTCCCAGAGGTAGAGCCCAACCCCTGTGGCCTCTACATTCAGTTCGTCCTGCGACGCCCAGGACGCAAGGACCTGGTCTGGCTCTACAAGACGCACAAGTTCTAAGTTCGATCATCGGTTGGGCTTTCCTCTTTCCTCAGGACTTCTTCCTTGAGGAGGGATTTCTGTCCTTTTCCGCGCTTCCGTCATCCTCCTCCTGCAACTCGCAGGATCGGTTCCTGTGTCTCTTTGTCACGTTCCTCTCGAGGTGGAATTGTTGATGCCATTGTTACTACACATATCCGTCGACTTCGTCACGCCGCGAGAACTCGAATTATATATTTGATACTATACTTCGTCGACCTCAAGCTCTGCCTGGAGGTGCTTAACTTCGTGGAACTTAATGTACTTCCTCGGACAAATCGAGGTCCATTGACTTTTCGGCTACTAAAGCCTGTGCTCCTCACGAAGCTGTTCAAGCATTGTCCGACGAAAGATTTCTTGTTCTTATCGCGGAGAATAATCCGCGTCCAAAGCGTGGGAACGCGTTATCGTAATTAGTACAAATACGGCGGATGCGTAATCGTTCCTTGAGCGTTAGTTCGACTTCTGATAGACGTTGGTGTTGGGAAGATTAACCCTTTTAGTGCCGAACAACGATATATCGTCTTGCGACAAGTGCCAACGATTTCGGTCGCCCCTAAAAGGGTTAACAATGTCTTAATTCTTTATCTACCGACTGCAAATTAAAAGAAAAAAACGGCTCATTCTAAATCAAATTCCCCAGTTTGGTCAAGATAGTTACGTAACGATAAATCTGTGCAAACTGATATGCGCAGATGTAAACGACACGTGGATAACATTTGGAGTATGGACGGAAACTCGATTTAATCGAAGTTAACAATTTGTTAGGATTTACTGTAACGCGTAAGAGAGGATCAATAAGACTTGGATTAATTAACTTTACTAAAAAGAGGATAAATGAATGCTGATAAAAACGGGATGATTAATAGGCCACTAGGTAACAAGCTTAGCTAAGAGACGCCAATTAACAGGCGGCAGGTTAATAAGCGCAGGTAAAAGAGGCCTATTTATCGACTCCCTGGGTAAAGTGTTAAGACCATCAATCCTAACATCAACATCATCAAAAAGATCGAGATTAGTATGTTAAGAGACGCTTGGAAGCCTCGAAATTCGGAGCCTCCTATGTGATGGTGTCCTCTAAAATCGAGGATTTACACCTAACTTCATCGTTATGTGTGTGTTAATGTTATCGCCATAAGTCTAGAATCAAAGGATCACTTCCATTTCTCCATTTGCCAGAATCCCGATAATCGCAAGGATATCAAAGGAAGCCTGAAGGTCCACTTCGGGACGGAAGATTTCCATTACCGTAAGTGCAGTGATCGACGTCAGAGATATTTTATATCGTCACGTTATGTGCACCAGGATTGCATAAATGTCAAGGATAGATATAAATATATACAGATATATATATACATAAGATTACGAAAGGGATCGTCAGGATACCGAAAAGAGCGAATCAACCCCGAAGATAGACCGTTCCGACGCAACGATTAAGAGATATATATATACATAAATAAATATATATGTGGGTGTGCGAGCGGAAGGAGAACAAATGTGATGTACACATAAGTAGACATTCACAGCGTCATTCCGGGGCGTTTGTTTCGTTTTCCCGCCGTGAATCGGCACTTGCGAGCTCATTATCATCTCTCGACGTGGGTTGTGATAGGATCGAATGAGGGGTGTTATTTCTAGCGAATAAAATAAACACCGAGGAGGCTTAAACGGGCCGATTGGATCGGCGTCACACGCCGTGGCCATTTGGGGCACCCTCGATCTCCAGAGGGATATCGCTCTTAGGCGAGCTAAACTAAACGCGAGAAAGGCGCGTTAAACGCCGATGCCGATGCCCGATACCTTCTGTAGATCGAGGTGCGATCGTGGGATTAATTAGTTAACGCTTGCCGATCGCATCGACTCGGGCCACCTAAGGAACACCCGAGAACACCTGTCCCCACGTCGGGAACTGCAACTGGCGGTCGACAATCGTCCTCCTGCCTCTTCGAAGGTCCTGCGAAGGTCCGTCTACGAGGCAAAAAGACGATTGTCCTCCTGGATTTCGGGAATCGGGAGGGACTTCGTACCCGTCTTGGAAATCCGCCAGAACCTAGGTAGGACTTCAGCCTATCCTATGTAGGGCTTGGGATAGAATGCCACACATTTATGTGTGAGGTTAGGACCTCCTGAGTTGGAGCGGTAAAGGAAGAGTTGGAGGGAATTATGTCGATGAGGAATTAAATTCGGATGTAGGTTTAAAATCTGCGAGGACCTAGCTAGGACTCCAGTCTACCGATGTAGGGCTTGGGTTAGAATGTCACACATTTTTGTGTGGGGTTAGGATATCCTAAGTTGGAGCGGTAAAGGAAGGGATTAAATTCGGATGTAGGTTTAAAATCTGCGAGGACCTAGCTAGGACTCCAATCTACTGATGTAGGGCTTGGGTTAGAATGCCACACATTTATGTGTGGAGTTAGGATATCCTAAGTTGGAGCGGTAAAGGAAGAGTTGGAGGGAATTATGTCGATGAGGAGTTAAATTCCCATCCAGGTTGAAAATCTGCGAGGACCTAGCTAGGACTTCAGTCTACCGATGTAGGGCTTGGGTTAGAATGTCACACACTTATGTGTGGAGTTAGGACCTCCTAAGTTGGAGCGGTAAAGGAAGAGTTGGAGGGAATTATGTCGATGAGGAATTAAATTCGTATGTAGGTTGAAAGTCTGCGAGGACCTAGCTAGGACTCCAGTCTACCGATGTAGAGCTTGGGTTAGAATGTCACACATTTATGTGTGGGGTCAGGACATCCTAAGTTGGGGCGGTAAAAAAAAATTGCAGGAATTGATGTTGATAAGTAGTTGAATTTATGTGGGCCCTAGCTAGGTGTTAATGAAAAGTGTGGATAAGATTGTATTGGATGTCAAATTACATCCTAGTTAGGTTTTAACTTGACGTTGACTAGGAAAAGTCTTGGATGCAGCATCAAGCTCTACCTAGGGCCTATCTAGGTTTAGGCTGGAAACCCCTAGCTAGGGCTAGGATATTATCCTAGATCTAGTGAGTTTTCTACACGGGTAACTTCGAGGTCTCTGCATTGCAGATCATATCCAAGCATCGCGACTTTGCTTGGCAAGAGAAAGAAAAAGAAATTGCTGATGCTACTCGGGCTGGTTTCATCTCCCTAATTGTTGTGATAATCTGTGCTAAGGTTAAATAAATGGAGCCGTGATGTTGGTTTTACTCAATTCTTTCTTGGTCCTCCTCTAAATGGACACCCTGCAGTTGTACTTTCAGCTCGGGTGACTAATCAGGTGAATCCCAAAATTCCTAATTGCTTATCGGGCGCTTTGTCGATGATAATCAATGTGGCCTTGTGATCAGGAAAAATGCCTTGTGTAGAGATTGCTGAATCAGGCTGTAAAGTCAAGCCAAGTTGACGAAGGACGAGTGAAATCCCGTTGAATGGAAGTTAATTCACGTCCGAGAATACATCCACTGTCAGGTCTTGTCCTTCCGTCATCCTTTTTTCCATTCCCTCCAACGATGGTTAATGATACTACGAGTATTTTTGTTTCAATTACCGGTTAACGTCGCAGTAGTGGACGGCCACTGATCTAGATAAAGGCCTATTCAAACATCAGTCCTAGATTATGCCACATCACCCGGTGTGAGCGCTGCAGCTGGGCAAGCGATGGCAAGTGTCATCGTGTACCAGAGCCTGTCAGCTCGACCATGAAAAATTGCTCGTTGTAGCGTGTTTCAAGTGCAAGGTGCCTATCCAGGGCAAACAACAATGTTGGATAAATAGTGAACGCCGGAATGACGGGGACACTATTTCGCGCGATGTGGCTGCTCGCGGTGGCTTTCGTCCTGGCTTTTGTGGGTGTCCTTGCCCAGAAGGATCCACACTATGTCGGCGACAGGACGACCATGGTGCACTTATTCGAATGGAAATATCCAGACATTGCCAGGGAATGCGAGGAGTACCTAGGACCCGCGGGTTTCGGAGGTGTTCAGGTACACTTGGAACTAAATCGCAGATTTATGATACTTTTTTAAGGTGGTGTCAAATCACCTCATTCTATACATCCAAATGTCAAAAAAATGTATTAAACTTTTCTCTATACACCGAATCATTCGAAACTTCGGCACGTGATTATGAAGGCTCTAAGGAAGAATGCGATGCTCGTTAAATTTCATTTTTCACAAATAAAATGTGATCTTGGTTCTAGTACAGGAGAAATAAACAAAAAAATGACATTTCACGAGCATCGCGTTCTTCCTTAGGGATTTTATAACTTTGTGTTAAAGTTTGAAATTATTCGGTGCACCCTCTTGGAAGATAAGTTTTATCAATATTTTCACTTTTTAGTATATGTATGATAATTGCGTAACACCTTAAGGGGATGTAAAAGTGACATCCGAGGCGTCGATTGTTCATGAAACTTTTCTACGAACTGAATTTATCGAATCATTTCAAATTTTACAATGTAAATGTAAAGGTTGCAAGGAAAGCCCCGACACCGACGAAATTGAGATTTTATGAAAATTTGTTCATAGGGATTTGTTAAATTCTGTATACAAAATTCCATGGGTGTCACAAGCTTTCATATAACTTACATATTCAAGTTGTAAACTTTGAAACGATTTGATAGACCTAGTTCAGAGAAAAGTTTCATAAACGAGACCTTTGTGTCGGCACTTTCATATCACCTTAATCCTTTGAGACACGTGAACGCATACACGCGTGCAACATTTCTTTGTAGCCTGTAAATGTTCATGAATTCCGTATGTTGAATCGACTACCGTAAGAGGATTAACATTTAACCAAAGATTTATTTTCTGTATAGAACAATCCATGTATTAAGGTGGTAGGAAAGTGGTAACTAAGGAGTAAATCGTTTATCAAACTTTTATGGGCATACCGGATCGTTTGAAGTTTCATTAAGTGAATATAGAGGCCCTACGGAAGGTCCTGGCAGTAATAAAATTACATTTTTTATAATGATTTAAAAATAGATGAATAAATAAATTAGAAAAAAAGAAATTTCATGGGCTCAAGCCTCCAAGTTCACTAGATCAATTTCTAGAGCGATTCGATACATCTAATTTCTAGGGGAAGTTTCATAAAAGAGACTTTCATGGTACCTTAATTACGTATTGTCAGGCAGTGTCGATCACTTCTTGCCGCCTTCTCGGCAGTGTTATTTCAATTATTTAACCATGAAATTATCTCCAAATAGAATTCGACGCGAGGAAAATTTATCCTCAAACATGTGAAGCAATACCTCTACCAATAATGAGAGTTAACGATTGTTCCCAGGTGTCTCCTATCAACGAGAACTTGGTGATGACTGGTAGACCATGGTTTGAGCGATACCAGCCAATTTCTTACAAGTTCGAAACCAGATCAGGGGACGAGAAGTCCTTCCGTGAAATGGTTGCTAGATGCAATAAAGCCGGTGTCAGGATCTACGTGGACGCCGTTTTCAATCACATGTCAGCAGATGCATCCCCAGCTGTAGGGACAGGAGGATCCAAGGCAGATCCCCAGAATTTGGACTATCCAGCTGTTCCGTACGAGAGAAATGATTTCCACCCCAGTTGTGCGATATCCAACTACCAAAACGCAACCAACGTCAGGGATTGCGAGCTCTCAGGATTGCATGATCTCGATCAGAGCAAGGAAGACGTTCGTCAGAGGATAGTCGAGTTCCTGAACCGAGCTGTGGATGCTGGTGTTGCTGGTTTCCGGTATGCTCTCCATCTTTTATTCCTTAGTCGAGGGTATTTCATTTTAGCACGAGTGTTCCTCGATGAACAGGGTGGACGCAGCAAAGCACATGTGGCCGCAGGACCTCCAGGTGATCTACGGAAGGATCAGGAACCTCAGCCAGGACCACGGATTCCCAGCAGACTCTCGTCCTTACATCTACCAAGAAGTGATCGATCTTGGGAACGAGGCTGTGAAAAAGTCAGAGTATTATTTCGCGACCGTAATTGACTTCCTGTATGGGATGATCCTAGGTGAGATGTTCCATGGAAAGGAGCCTTTAAGGAACCTGGAGAACTGGGGTCCAGATAGAAGTCTGGTGCCTTCTGACTCTGCTCTGGTTATGATAGACAACCATGATAACCAACGAGGACATGGGGCCGGAGGTAGCGACATCCTGACCTACAAGGTCCCGAAACAGTACAAGGTAATGTCTAGTGTCTTTGGATGATTTCTCTCGGCTCCTTCGATGTAATTAGAAATCCTGAGAAATACATTGTAAAGCCATGTGAAAGACGCCGAGGAATTTAATTGATATTGGTAAAGAGGGATTCTTCTACCTGATGTGCCACCTGAAACAGCGAGCCACGTTATCGACATTATACTCATATTGACAGCGATGTCGTATCATATCGAATATTGTAAAATGGCATGATCCGGATGGTAAGAGACTAACATTAGACATTCTGGGGACATGGAGTGCAATATGTTAGTATTGTGCAGAGAATTGTCGAGTAAAATCGGTCTTGCAGAAAATGCGACCAAGTCCTGACCATGAATCCAAGACCAAGACTTGATGTACAAGCCCAAGACCAAGCCTATAAGACCAAAATCGATTTGCTCATCTCTATTACATTCAAATCCAGTATTTCGATTGGCACTGATCGTCTTAACCCTTTAGATGATCGTGGCTTTCATGTTGGTCCAGCGATGTCGCCGTTAGTAAAGATGAACTCTTCTAACTAATATGCCACCTGAAACAGCGCGCCACGTTATCGACATTTATACTCATATTGACAGCGATGTCGTATCATATCGAATATTGTAATGCCACCAAGTCCTGGCCATGAATCCAAGACCAAGACCTTGATGTACAAGCCCAAGACCAAGCCTATAAGACCAAAATCGATTTGCTCATCTCTATTACATTCAAATCCAGTATTTCGAATGGCACTGATCGTCTTAACCCCCTAGATGGCTGTGGCATTCATGTTGGCCCACCCTGATGGACATCCGCGGGTGATGAGCTCCTTCGCCTTCGACGACCCCAGCATCGGTCCTCCAGCTGATGCCGATGACAACATTATCTCCCCGAATCCTCCATCAGCAGGTGCCTGCGGAAATGGATGGGTATGCGAGCATCGGTGGCGACAAATCCGCGGAATGGTGGGATTCCGCAATGCCGTTGGAAATCAGCCGCTCCAGAAATTCTGGACCAACGGGAAGAACCAGATCGCGTTTTCTCGTGGATCCAAAGGCTTCATTGCTATCAACGCTGAGGATGCGGATCTCAGAGAGAGCCTGGGAACTGGCCTGCCTGCTGGTCGGTACTGCGACGTGATTTCAGGGGAGCTGAAAGACGGCAAATGCACCGGAAAAATCGTTGATGTCGACGACCAGGGTCGAGCAGGAATCGTGATCCTCAAGGACGAGGAAGACGGCGTCGTCGCCGTTCATGGAAATGTCCGTATCTTGACGATTTAAATTTTTGTAAATTATTTACCACTACCAACGAAATTCCTTTTTGTTCCAGGCCAAGCTATGACTCTCTGCGTCCGTTAACATTATCTACAATCCATTGAACCAGCACCTAGAGTAGATGGCCCCTGTTTGCGAGGGGCGACAATTGCTTCCTCTTGTACTATCTTGACAATAAACGTGCGTTCTTATCGTATCGCTAAAGCAGTTGTCATGCTTCCGGAAGTGCGAAGGATGGACTCGCCAGTACGTGGCGAGCCTTTCTATGATAGTTTATATGTTTGTTGCGGGATAAATTTCTAGCCTGGATGTGTGTTTCTGAAGTTGGGGGAGCTGGGAAAATAGATTACCGTAGTGTAGTGCAAACGATAAGGGTCTATCGGGTCCTGATAACACGGACACACCCACTGGGGATCATCTAATCAGCTACCAATTGTCGGAAGCAGCGATTTATCCGGAAAGAAAGCGATCGATCATCCTGGACCTTGTTCTGGCAGCTCGATCAGGAACCGTGTGAAGAACCGGCGATAATGTCAAGGCGTATAAATAACGAAGTTTAGGTCTTTATCAGGAGTCGAGTCTATCGAAATGCTCGCGGTGGCTTGCGTCCTAACCCTGCTGGGCTCAGTTGTTGCCCAGAAGAGCCCGAATTACGTTCCTGGACATGATGGCATGGTCCACCTCTTCGAGTGGACGTGGACAGACATTGCTGAAGAGTGCGAGCGGTTTCTGGGACCCATGGGGTTTGGCGGAGTCCAAGTAATGCCCAGGAAATGGATTACTAGTCTTATCCTAGCGAGGACTATTGCAAGGGACTTGTTCCCTGGGAAACGTTGCATTACCAGTGGTGTAACTTTGGTAGTACTTGAAAAAGACCCATTCTTTGGAAAAATGAGCGCGACAAGTATCACAGCATAATTTTAGGGGCACTTGTAAGGGTCTTATATTTAAATTGCTTAGCATGACAAATAGCATAATTTGAACAGAATTTGTAAGGGATTTATTTCCTGGGAAACATTGCGTTACTGGTGGTGTAACATTGGTAGTACTTGAAAAAGACCCATTCTTTGGAAAAATGAGCGCGACAAGTATCACAGCATAATTTTAGGGGCACTTGTAAGGGACTCATTTTTTAAATTGCTCAGCAAGACAAGTGACATCATATCAGTAGCATTTGTAAGGGATTTATTTCCTGGGAAACATTGCATTACTGGTGGTGTAACTTTGGTAGTACTTGTAAGAGGCCCATTCCTTGAAGAAACGAGCATAATTTTAGGGGCACTTTTAAGGGTCTTATATTTAAATTGCTCAACGTGACAAGTAGCATAATTTCAGTAGCACTTGCAAGAGACTTATTGCTTGGGAAACTTAGCATTACTGGTGGCTACATTATAATAGCACCTGCAACGGACTCATTCCTTACTTAACTTGACATGAACTTAACATGACTAGCGCAACTTATTAAAAATTTCAGCATTAACTTGAATGTTATGCAAGGGAATTTAATTCCACAGGTCTCGCCGATCCAGGAAAACGTGATAGTTCGGTCCAGGCCCTGGTGGGAGAGGTACCAACCCATCTCCTACAATTGGACCACCAGATCAGGAGATGAGGCTTCCTTCAGGAACATGGTCTACAGGTGCAACCGAGCAGGGGTCAGGATTTACGTTGACGCTATCCTCAACCATATGTGCGCTGATCAGCCAAACCCCATAGGAACAGGTGGGTCTACGGCAAACCCGGGTAAGTTCCAATTCTGGGCCGTTCCATATGGACCGGAACACTTCAACATCGGCTGTTCCGTGACCAACTACAACGATCCGGAGAACGTCAGGAACTGCGAGCTGGTCGGACTGAAAGACCTGGACCAGAGGAAGGAGGACGTCCGCAAAGCTCTCGTAGACTTCATGAACGAGGCGATCCAGGCTGGTGTTGCTGGCTTCCGGTACCTTGCCCAGGCTAATAGGATTTACTTCAAAGCAAAATAACGAGTTTCCGTTTCCGCCGCGGTTCTAACGTGGGATATTCGTCGTTGCAGAATCGACGCCGCCAAGCACATGTGGCCTCAGGATCTGAAGATCATTTACGAGAGGCTGGACAATCTCAACGTGGACCATGGGTTCCAGGCTGATGCTCGTCCCTACATCTTCCAGGAGGTGATCGACATGGGAGGTGAGGCCATCTCGAAACAGGAGTACAATGGGTTCGCTGCCGTTACGGAATTTCGCTATGGCTTTGAATTGAGCAACGCCATGAAGGGCAAGAATGACTTGAAGTGGCTGATCAGCTGGGGAGAGTCCTGGGGACTTCTGCCCTCCAAGGACGCCTTGGTGTTCGTGGATAACCATGACAACCAGAGGGGACATGGAGGTGGCGGTTCCGTCCTGACCTACAAGACCTCTAAAGAATACAAGGTAGGACCTTTACTCTCAGCTTCACCTTATTGGGTCCCTGGAGATGGTCCATTCTCACCTACCAGACCTCTAAACGATACAGGATAACTGTTCCTTTTATCCTATTAAGGTCTTCCTCCATGGTGAAGGTGGCGGTCCCCACCTAGAAAGGTGCAAGGTGTCTTTAATTTCTTTTCCATATTATTTGAAAGACCGTTTAGGAGACTCTTGATTTATCTGCAGATGGCTGTAGCCTTCATGTTGGCTCATCCTTACGGGGTGCCGCGGATCATGAGCTCCTTTCATTTTGATTATTCCGACCAAGGACCTCCGGCGGATGCGGGAGGGAACATCCTGTCTCCGAAATTTCTTCCCGATGGGTCCTGCGAGTTTGGGTGGGTTTGCGAGCACAGGTGGAGACAGATCTACAACATGGTCCGCTTTCGCAACGTTGTCAATGGGACTGATATCAGTCATTGGTGGGACAATGGGAGCAACCAGATCGGCTTCAGCCGCGGCAACAAAGGATTCTTTGTCGTCAATGGTGACAAGTGGGACCTGGTCCAGACTTTGTGGACTAATCTCCCAGCAGGACGATACTGCGATGTCATCTCCGGTAATCTGGTGAACAGAAAGTGCAGTGGCAAGACCGTCGAGGTCCAGACAGATGGCAGAGCACTCTTTAAGATCTTTGTCAATGAAGAGGATGGAGTTATGGCGATACATAAAGGGGTAATCTTTCAATTCTCTCCAGCTACAGTAATTAGAATATTTTTGATAATTCCCCTGATGCCCAATTCTTGCAGGCGAAGCTGTGACCACCAAGAGCTTGACCCATGACTTCTCATCAAACAGGTGATGTGATCCTAGGAAATTGTAAATACCTATTTTTTTTTCTTTTTTTTTTTAACGAAGTTGTGAATTAATAAATCATAGGCAATGTCGAAGGACAAGGGAGAACCTCTTCCTCTCCCAAGGGAACTGATCCGGGGCAGCATCTTCTCAACAATTTTATTTTAACAGAAACAAAGTGCACTGTTTTTGTTTTCTTTTCACTGTTAATTCCTACTATACATAATATGACAGTTAATTGTAAAATAATACACGACAGACTTGCGACAGGGGCTCGTAGATGGGGTTGGGGGTGATATGGGGAAACGTAGGAGGGGGCTGAATATACGAACGGAATTCGCAGGAGGGGACCGTCGAGGATGGGGAAACTGAAGTATCACAAAACAGCCGTGACGCGTTTCTTCCCCAAGCTGTGTTCCGGTTACAACAGTTCCGGTACACGGCCTGAGTGCTTCTCTTTGCGCGTCCGCTTTCTTAACTCTTTCTTTCTTAATTCCTGGCGAGCACCTGATTCGGTTACGACCCTAAATAAAATACTACGGGTTTCTCGTAAAAGCACGGTATAAATAAATGCTCAAGCGCGCAGTATGTACACCTCGCCTCCCGTCCGCCATCTTGATTCTCTTTTCTCTTAAGTAAACGCCGCCGGAGCTTCTCGTTCCTGGGTCTATAAAGAAACGGATGAAGCAGAAGTCAAGGGAGGGGACTTTAGCCATCTTACGTTGCTGACTAACGTGACTTCTTATTCGTGAAGAACGGCAATAATGGCGCTTTTTTTGAAATATGATATAGCGCGACCTAAAGGGAATAAAAGATATTCCTAAAATTCTCTTGCACATTGTTTTTAACGCATGAAACTGGCATCTCGTCAGTTGCTTATGAAACTTTTCTGCAAACTAGGCGAATCGAATTTCCTGACACTTTACCACGCCCTAAGAAAGGTCCTGACAGTTGTGAAATTTCATACTTCGTTAAAATAAAGTTAATGTACAGAAAGGAATTTAAAAACCGGGAATTTTTTCTTTCCATAGAGCCTCCACATTCGCGTGATAAAATATTGATCCGGAAAAAACTTACCGTGTATTTGAGACACTTTTACATGCCTTTAAAACAAGTGAGAACGTTAACAACGAAAGATGGCGATTCCTTCTCTTTACGATTTGAGCTTCACCCGCTTAACCCTTCATCCTTTTTTTTTATAGACGCATATTCTTTTCCCTAGCCATCTAATCTTCCCTCGGGACAGGTACACTCCTATACTTCATTCGCATCCACGTGCTCCTTCCATTATCCTCTTTTAATCCTTAATTCGGCAAACGACTGAGTCAAACGACTTGCTGCCCCCTTCGCGTGGGTCGCCAGCGCGCGCGATTCAAAAATTGGAAGAAACGCTCGAAAGTCCCTTCGGCTTCTCCTTCATTTTTTTCTCTCCCTAGAAGGACTTCTCCTCCCTAAAATCCGCAGTAAATTCAGGCTACTGTAAATCTAAAAATACTGCTCGTCGTTATGAACCGGTCGTTCTTTCCTTCTCTCCCCCTTTTACATATCGAGTATAGTTCCTCGCCGTACGTCGTTATCCACGTACAAGTGTTATAAGGCAACGATGAACCTCCTAAATAAATAAGAACCTTACGTTGTCACTACGATGACACTCATTCTCACTCGCACTCTCTCCCACCCTGTCTCTCTCTCTCTTTCTCTCAAGAATTGCGAATTTTAACTTTTAAACTCGGACCCTCTCGCCGGCCGCATTTGCGGAGGACCGAAGCCGTTCGGCCACGTAGAGCGTTAGCAAAAATATAATTTAGTATATATCTACTCGTTTATAATCATCCATAGAAAAACTTCGTTAAACATCTATAAAAGAACCAACGATTTGAGCAAAAATACGTATCTCTTCCGTACGTGTCCACACGGTGTGTGATGGTCGCGCGCTCCGAGTGATTGCGTGTTATCGTTATTGCACATATTTCTCGCTATCAGGCCGCGCCTCGGGCCCCTCGAAGGATTCCCTTTGGCAAATCGAGTAATCGATCGGCAATCTCTGCCCAGGTTCCGAGATCAGGACGGAAACTAACGGAGCCATTGTAATATCGCACTAAAGGACCAGAGAGACGCTATTTTCTGGACCGGGGATGAGACCTCATCCCCGTAAACTCCCCATTGTTCGGATGCGCAGGCGATAAGGCCTTAATCAGTCCCCTGAGATAAACTCGGAAGATGGTGAGAAACTTATAGTGACATGCAAACCTGACCAAAGGTTTCGAATCCGCCTAACCCTTCCGCTACAATAAACTCCACCACGATGTCACGTGGTGGGAAAAATATGGGCACTATACTGGAATGCGATTCTCGAGTTCCTAGGTATTTCTTTCGTATATGAACAGATTCGCATGAAAAATGTTGCATTGCTGTGGAGTCGCGTCATTGGTCAACATTTTAATGTCGTATACGAATAGATTCGCATGAAAAATGTTGCATTGTTGAGGAGTCGCGTCATTGATCAACATTTATGAAAAATGTTGCATTGTTGAGGAGTCGCGTCATTGATCAACATTTTAAAGTCGTATAGGAATATATTCGCATGAAAAATGTTGCATTGTTGCGGAGTTGCGTTATTGGTCAACATTTTAATGTCGTATGCGAATAGATTCGCATGAAAAATGTTGCACTGTTGCGGAGTCGCGTCATTGGTCACTATTTTAAAGTCGTATACGAATAGATTCGCATGAAAAATGTGGCATTGTTGTAGACTTGCGTCATTGGTCAACATTTTAATATCGTATACGAATAGATTCGCATGAAAAATGTCGCACTGTCGTGGAGTTGCGTTATTGATCAACATTTTAATGTCGTATACGAGTAGATTCGCATGAAAAATGTTGCATTGTTGCCGAGTCGCGTAATTGGTCAACATTTAAAAATCGTCTGCGAATAGATTAGCATGAAAAATGTTGCATTGTTGAGGAGTTGCGTCATTGGTCACTATTTTAAAGTCGTATACGAATAGATTCGCATGAAAAATGTTGCATTGTTGAGGAATCGCGTCACTGGTCAACATTTAAAAATCGTATACGAGACGGACAACATCGCACGTGAAAGTTGAGGCTACTAACTCGAGAATCGGGTCTCTGGCACGTCATTCGAAAAGATGACAAAACTGGATGCCACTATAAGGTATAGTGCCCAGTAGCGGAAGGGTCAATTCGAGGTCCCTCGGCATATATCGCTCCCTCGGCCGCGAGACGCGTCTAGTGCCAAACCGGAGAAGTTCGACAGTCGTCACAGTGACAACCAAAAACGCATCAGCAATAGCTGACAGCTGATCGGCCCCTCGGAGCGGTCCCAGGTGAAAGAGTCATCCCTTCCATGGGTATAAATTCGAGTCTGGAGTCACGGAATCGCATTTCATGCGATAAGCGCCCAAGCCGACAGGAAAGATACCCATGCACGACTGTTTAACCTGGTCCAGCTCGACGGCGCCTCGTGGAAGACGTATGCGTGGACGTGGGCCATTTTGCCACGACTTCGCGTCCTCCATCTTCGATGACGCACTGGTTGCCGTTTAAGTACCTTGCGGAGACCCGAAGGTCCAAGAGTCAGTCCGAGGAGTCTTTCTCTCTCCCGAGCGGGCTCGTCGTCGAGCCCGTTAGGCGTTGAGGCGAGGTCGAGGTCGACCTCGGAAGGTACAAATGGCGGAGTCCCCGCCAAACGGTCACCCGAGCCCAAGGTCTTAACCCGGGACCCAGGAGACCTGGGTCTTCCCCAACGAGTCCAGAGCCGTTTCCGGCAACCTCGCCGATGACCTTGTGCACGGACCTCTTCCAATCGAAGCGACCTTATCCCGAGTCATTGGAAAAATCCCCCCCTTTCTACGAGTTTTACAGGTTTCCAGGTTGCCAGAAGACGAGAGGACTGGTGGAACGACCTAGGAGGTCCAAGAACGAAAGGTGCTGATGAGGTCGGGCTCAGATCCTTCACCAGGTTGGGCTTCGAACCCAAAGCCAGTCCAATATCTCTCTGACCTCCTTTACCAGGCGAACTAAGCTCGAGGACGAGGTCGAGGTCCAGATCCAGGTCGAGGTCGAGGTCGAGGTCGAGGTCGAGGTCGGGCCTGGTCACTGATTGACGGGCTTCTTGAAGACGGCCTCGGGCCTGCGCAGCGGCCGCGGCAGGCGGCGCTCTATCCTGAGGGCGCGGTTGAGGTCGACCTCGGGCCCGGGAGTCTCCGCCAGCATTTGTCAGTTTCCGGTACTGCTGGGCCGCCGTCCCGGCGCTTGCGTCGACGCCGCGACCGCGGCTGCGGCGCCCAGCGCCGGCAGCGGCGTCTGGTGGCAGTGTGCGCAGTGCAGGCACACGGTGCAGGCCCCGAGCTTGCGGGCCAGCAAAGCTCTCAGTTTCAGCGCCGGGCCCAGTTTCATGCCCATCGGGCCTGTCAGGTGCTCCTCCGAGAGCAGAGGCAGCGCCGCGCCATCTATGCGGTGCTCCCGGAAGTTCTGAAACAATAGCCAGACCACGTTTGTTAACTCTCAGCTGCGAGTTGCTTACTTTAATTTTTTTTAATTAAGAAAATATTATTTTTCATTTCTCGTTATGAGAAAGCTTTTCCAGGTGGATTGGCTACAAAATATGTTCTTGTGGGTGAAACTGCCAAATCGCCCCTTGACATGCTTTACTTTGGATGGTGGTTTTACCCCCTTAAAGTGTTTAATGGCAGATAAAAAAAAATACGTGTTGCTTAGTTTTTAGTCCACTATAACATATTATAAAAGAAATCGAATCGGAGAGATCGACTTGGGATACCTCTCTTATAAGATGTTCTCGACGTTAGGTTGCAGTTTTATAATTACTCCTCGCAGAGCAATCGAAGATAAAAAAAATACGTGTCGCTTAGTTTTTAGTCCACTATAACATATTATAAAAGAATTCAAATCGCAGAGATCGCCCTGGGATACCTCTCTTGTAAGATCTTCTCGACGTTAGGATGCAGTTTCATAATTACTCCTCGCAGAGCAATCGAAGATATGTCCGCTACTCGGTAGATGGCGCGCAAAAAGAACGCCGAGAGTAACGGAAGAACAATTCATTCACGACTCTTGGCCGGAGCCCGAACGTAATTACGGCCGGTTCGCCGTATGCTATAGTTCATGGAATACGAGCACCGCTTATGAATGAAATATTCAGACTATAATGCGAGTTACACACGCAACGATCGCTAGGCCAACCGGTCTTCTGCGCACGCGGTCTCGCTCTCTCCCGCTGCCCACCTCGTTATCTCCCTCTCCGTCTATCTCTCCCATCCGCCAAAGGCTCGTTTTCCGATTTCTCCTCCCATCTGCCTCTCTCTCTCTCGGCTCGCGAAGCGTCTGTTTCCGATTTCTACCTTCGTTCCGTTCCCTCCCACCTCCTTTTCCGACGCCTCTATGAAACACGCCGATGAATGAACTACCGAGCCCAGAAGTTGCGCTGCTGAGAATTTACAGGGATCTGCACGGAACTTTCTGCCGTGGGTGCCATTAAGGTGAAGTGAAACCCCCCTCAAATCAGTCGATTCTAATACAACACTTTTTTTAAGGGTATTGGACCAAACTCTCCGAAACTTTGACATATGACTCGTGACGTCATCTAAGAATTGTCGCGACACATTCAAACTTTGGATTTTTGGGAAAAATTGTTTAACTTAGTCCACACCAGAACCAAAATGGCGTCGAGCTCTCATATTTCGATCAATGTACAATTATTGAAGGCTCTGATATGAGAAACGAAAGGGTCAGGACAATTTTACGAGAATTTAGAACACGCTAGTAATCGATAAACTCGTATTTGAACGAGATAAAGGCAAAAAAAGTATTTTATGCGCTTCCATGGAAAAACGATGGGAATACGAGGTCTCGGAGTGAAAATTTAATTGACCTGGAAATCACAGATGGCGCAGGGGGTCCTTCTGCAGTCAATTAGGGCCCCAGAAAGTATGAATCCAGAGGATTTCTGGAGTTTTACTTCGATTTCTTTATAATTATTGTACGAAAACGACAGGTGGAGGGTGCCATTTAATACAATACGTAATATAATTCGACCCAGCTGTCGATATAAAAACAAACGTCGGCAACGTAAGTATTTATAAAAATCTTCTTTATCGACGTCGACCAAGTTCCTCGACGTGTTTCGCGTCACCTTAACCTCGGTTTTCAGTACGGAGAGAGAGGACCGGCGATCGAGGGCCTTCCAGGAGCATCTTCAGGGAGCTCGCGACTACAAGAAGTCGCGGCTGCCGGATCTTAACGATTATCACCGGTAATTTATTCGCAATGACGCGGCGCCCCACCACAGCCGACGAAAAGCGTTCATCAATGTCGCGCCGAGAAAGAGACGTTCCTCGGGGACAGCGCGGGCGCTATTAAAGCCGCATAAACCCGCGTAAACCCGAGGTACGGGCCACCTCGAGTGCCTTAACCTAAACCCGCTTTAACGATTCGTAAGCATGAATTATGATATGAGGTGTCGCCCGGAGGAATCCTCCAGTGGAGGCCTTCTAATGAGAGCCGGACACGAGAGCACCGCCGCCATCTTTTCCGTTCGGGATAGCAGCTCGTCCTATATGTATAAAAAGAGGTGCCTCTACAAAATTTCCGAACGTAGCACATAATTAGCACATAAGGAGCACAAAATGTTAAGGTATAGAAATTTGAATTTTGTAAAGGTGGGGGTGCCAACTATACGCCCCTTATGAAAAGCTGGATTCAAATGAGATTCCATCACCTGCCTATCATATGATGGAGCTCTCTTATCGTTTAACCCTTAACCACCTAATGCCTATCATTTAAAATGAACATTACGGTACATCATAATGAAATTGGATCAGTCTGCCATAACAATTGCACGAATAAAATTGTTCATAAAATTCCTACAAACTTACCATGGGTTTCTAAATGAATTTATAACTATATCACGGTGATATCGTGTATACGGATTAGTGCACCTCAATTGAAAGTACCCTGTAAAGTTAGTGAACCATGAATCTGGATGGAACTTCCAACAAAGGGATGAAGAATTACGACGCTTCTTTTTTTATAGTGAGAAAGGTCATGAAATTCGACCGCATGCATTAATGAAGGGGGTTAAGTTAACGTCATATATACTTTAGACATGTATGGCTTGTTTACTGTTGGAAATATGTATGGGAGGTGCATATATAATAACCATACACGGGTTCACTTCGAGGAGTCAAAAGTGATTCCGTGTTTTCATTTAATAATTGATAACGAAGTAAGTAGTGTTAGGTCGGGTCCAGGTGCGAAAAGGGGGTGGTTTAATAAAAGGAAACGAAGATGGCTCCAATTTGTCACAAGGGGTTGGATTAATGGCGCCGACCAGGGAACCCATGAATCGGCGGTCTCACCAGCTGCAGCTGCACCGAGGAAGGATATATCATGGCTAACCTCACCGCGGGCGACCACTGCACGGACAACCCGTACTTCCTCCTCCCAGTGCCAAACCCTTGCAGGACCCCCATCAATTATCCGCTCCTCAAACACGTTATTAGCTCTGGGCGGGTCCACGGTGGAAATAGGAACCCAGAGACATCTCCACGTCCGAAGGAAGAAGGTTAACCAAGGGCTATCCGCTTGGAAATCAGTAAAAACGATATCTTTCATTGAGCGCATTTCATACTTTAAAACGTGAATACGGTGACCCTAACTTAGGTCCTGAAACTCGCGAAATTTCATTTTCTATAAACTATTTTTAAAATACCTATAAACAAATTTGAAAAGAATTGAAATTTCATGAGTTTCAGGATCCTCCTTATAGTCTCCTTATTCAGATTGTAAAGTTTCAAACCATTCGGTAAACCGAGTAGGGAGAAAAGTTTTATAAACAAAACCTCTTCGACGCCACTTTCACATCACCTTAACCTTAAAAATCTCACTTTACGTTCGACCCGTTTCTTCATAGATCCATGGGTGACCTCTCGCGGACGCGGAAGAGGACGCCGAGTTGGCCTGGTAGCCGCAAGATGGCGGCCGCGATCCTCTGTGGATACGCCACTGTGCTCCGTGCCCGGAGGACCGGTGACCCGCCACGCCTGGTTGAGGTCGTTCCTCGGCTTTCCGCTCGGCCGGCGCGCGTCGGCCAATCAGAGGGCCCGCAGAAACCGTCGCGTCGACCGCCGACGACCGCCGGCCGGGAGCACCGGCCTAACCAGATCGCGAGCTGCCCCCCGGGCCCCGGCCCTCGCCGCGCATGCGCCGTCGCCCCGCGGCGCGCTATGCGTTCCAATTGCCGGCTCCGATCCGATCTATCGGGCCCCTTTTAACCCCCGCCTCGCCGACGAGCTTCGTTTTCGCCGCGGGTCCCCTCGGGTTTCATCGGCCCTCTTCGGCCTCATTCGGGGGCCCCGGAATACCTATGCGCGGGGGCCCTTTTATTGCTGCGCAGGTTATAAACAAGCTCGGGGTATGAAGAATGGAAGGAGCGACTGTCGTTCATTGAGGGGTGAAAGGGGTAACAGGGTTAATAAGGCCCAGCGAAATATGTATTAATAACGAATATTGGGAATAGCTCGAGGCATCGACCCAGTGTTATCTATTGGTATGATATTTCTAATTATTAGTAATTGAATGCTTCCAGTGGATATTGAATACAGGGTAGTGGGAGGACATGGGATTGTTGGGGATATGTATAGCATTTGCATTTTAGGATGGAGTACTCTTTGACAATATGTTTTTATACAATATTTAACCGCTTGAATTACAGGTTACCAATGGGTATCGATTAATATTCCTACATGGAGATGTGTTCTATTAGGTTAAGGAATAAGTCTCCACCGTTTTTAACATAACGTAACGTAATTAAAACGGCGGGATTTTATTCCTCAACCTGATAGTTTACATAGATTACGACAAGGTTAATAGAAACCTTTCACCTGTCTGAGTCAATAAGTAAGTCTTTCTACCTCATCCCAAGCCTTATGTAGGAGTGCAGGGCCGCGACTGCAAGGTCCATCCCCTCACTTTTAATTTATTTAACTCATTTACCTAGTTACACGAGTCAAAGAAAGCTCAAGACACGAACCAAGAATATCTTTCTTTCCTGACCTCACCTGTCCGAGTCAATAAGTAAGTCTCTCTCCCTCTTCCCAAGCCTTATGTAGGAGTGCAGTGTCGCGACTGCAAGTCCCCTCCCAGCTTCCTGGTACCAGGTGCTCCAGTTTATCTCCACTGCACCACTTTCTTTCCTCCTCGGGCTCCTTTGATCTCAATTTATTGCCGCCACGAGGGATATCAGTCCCGTTCCACCAGGTGTCCCCATAATTCTTTAATAGGACTAGGGCGCGCCAGTTTTGTTGCCGCGGCAAAAATGTGCAAACCCACCTGTTGCTCGCGGTGATCAAGAAAGCTCTAGCAGGGCCTCCACAAGAAGAACCTGGACGTCGATTTTCCCTTATTTTTTACTGCCTGCCCCCGTGATGAAGACGAAGGACTCTATCCTAGAGTCG